CTGCTCCGTTTGGGTCGCAAGAGGACATCCTTAAAGTCCAGCTTGAGGTCTGCATCTATGCGGGGCATGGTGCGTCCTGGTGGGGCGCAAGCAGCTCTTTCCTGCGGCGGCGGAGGTGGCGCGCCGGGTCGGTAACCTGCGTGGGGTGGCGCGGGTCGGGGGGGCTGCTGGTGCCGCGGGCCGGACGCTACTAGGCGACTCGGCTCACGCTGGATGGCAAACCCAACCCGCCTGCCCGAGTCTGCACAGCTCTGGGCCCTCCCCCCGCGCTGCCGGCTGCCCCGCCCCTGGCCTCGGCTCGCGGCTGCGGGTCGCGGAAGCAGCGGGGGCAGGGCTGGGGAGAGGAGAGGAGGCTACGGGGGCAGCCTGAGGTTTAGGGACCCGCCAGTGGCGATAGGTCAATTGTGAGTCCGCGTGGGTGGCATTTTTAACCTTCTTCCCCCACCCCCTCTCCCCAGCTGTACAGTTGACCGAGTTGGGGAGGGGGCAAGAGGATGTGCACAGTCTTGTCTGTCACCTAGGCCCCTGACGGGGAAAGGACTTGGCAAGGGACCGCCTTAGTCTAGGGAAAAGGCCACTCTTTGAGAGATTTTGCTTATTCTTTCTCTAATTCCAAGCTTGGTGTGCAGAGTGCCCACCATGTGCTGAGTCAGGCCTCTCACAGGCGAAAAAATGAGAAACCTTGGGAACGGGATATAACCAAAACACCCACCAGTTGCCGGAGGACAAGTCCATTCTGACTGTTAGAGACCCTATAGGATAGTACAGAACTGCCCCCATAGGATTTACAAAATCTTTGCGAAAGCCAACAGACCTTTCAGTGAGCAGTCGAGCGCTTAAACACTGCGCTATGAGGCTCCTTGGGAGGCTGGATAGATTTAAGGAAAAACGGTAACTCTGTTTCTCACCACTGGAATTGTTGAGGTAATTTTTGTATTTCATTTGGATTTCTGGATTTTTGTTTGGTTTTCATTTGTTTTAGTAAAGACTGTTGTAAATAGTCAGTGCAGCTCCTAGGATTTGGGGGATCTGAGTCCACTCTGAGAGTTCCCAGGGCTGTCCCTTTGTTTTTAATTCACTTGTTTACTTCACGGAGCCTTTATTATATACCCTAGGCAACGGGGTAAAGTGCTTCAGGCGCACCATCTCATTCGCTCAAAACAACAGTGAAGAAGGAGCCATTTTACAAGTAAAGAAAATGAGGCTCATATAAGTGAAATAACTTGCCCAAGGTCACATAAAAGTTACATATAAACTTCCCAGTCCTTAAAATTTACTGCAGTCCTTCACTGAAGCTGTTTTTGTCCTGGGAACTCTATTTGTGTGTTCAAAACTGGCTCCACTAGTTGAGGGAGTCACTTCAGTTTTCCCATAGCTTAAAAGGTGATGGGGGCTATGAGTCGACGGCAAATAACAACAACAACAACAACAGGTTTTTATGAGAATTTGTGTGTGTGTGTGTGTGTGTGTGTGTTTGAGCATAATGTATGTCCCATAGTAGTTGCTTGGTAACCAGTAGCTACTTATTTGGGGTTTCTTGTTGCTGTGAGTTGCCATGGAGTAGACTCCGACTGACTCCATGTGTTACAGAAAAGATCTGCTCCATAAGATATTCTTGGCTGTCATCTTTAGGGAAGCAGATACCTAGGCCTTTTCTTCCACAGTACCACTGGGTGGGTTGGAATAGCCAACCTTCAGGTTAGCAGTGTAGCACAAACTGTATTTGGGTTACATGTTACATTATGTTGTTGTTGTTGTTGTTGTTGTTGTTATGTGCCCTCAAGTTGACCCGACTCATAGTGACCCCTCCTTGGGTTTCTGAGGCAGTATCACTATGGAAGTAGATTGCCCGACCTTCCTTCCATTACATTATGTACATTATGTTTTTTTTTATATCATCAGACTTCATTGCAACCTCCACAAAGACAGAAGCCATCTTTGTTTCTTTCAGTTCTTTGCAACCTGGAACCGAGGTACTCAATGAACTATTTGGTATGGCTGACTGTAAAAATGCATCACTATATTCATTTAAATACAAATGTCTGCAAATGATAAAAGCTTTAGCCCATCCCATTTGCTCTCATCATCTTTGCCCCACAGGAAGTTCCTAAAGCTTCATGGAAGGAAATGAAAGTTGTCATCAGGGAGAGAATGAAAGTAACCACAGTGATTGCAGCCAATGAAATATTTATGCTCATTGGGATTTGGCCAGAGGGGCTGGTTAGTTGCAAAGCTACAAAGTGAAAAGGTATCTAATTCTGATGTTGAGTTCCTAATTTAAAAAAAGTAAAATATAATTACTATAGAATATGGATATTTACAAATTAGTCCCCCAAAGGGGAAAAGAAACTCACCTTGTAAAACATCTGTCTGGCATCAAGTACAATGTTGAGTGGGGCTTAATGTACATTATCACATACTTTGTCTTAAAAGAAACAAAAGGCCTCCAAAGGTTGACCTTGCTCTTTTTTACTAGGACAGTATCTTTCCTCTTAGTTTCTCCCCTACCCCTTTCTATTAGAGTAGTGATGGAAGTTCATGTTACACATTCCGTTCCTCCACAGAATTGTACTCTTAGAGAGTTGAGTCCCTGATTTTTCCAGACCAACCTGCTGTTTGTTATTAGTTGTCATCAAGCTGATTGCAACTCATAGTGACCACATGCATGCAGAGTAGAACTGCTCCATGGGGTGTTCATAGCTATGACCTTTCAGAAGTAGATCACCAGGCTTTTCTCTTGAGGTATCTCTAGGTGGGTTCAAACCAACAACCTTTTGGCTAATAATTGAGCATTTAACCTTTTGTGCCACCTAGGACTCCTCCAAACCAACCTAACTCATTGCCATCAAGTCAACTCTAACTGATAGCAACTGTATAGGACATGTAGAACTGCCTCATAGGGTTTCCAAGGCTATAAATCTATATTGTTGTTGTTATGTGCCACTGAGTCATCTCCGCCTCATAATGACATTATGTACAACAGAACGAAGCACTGCCTGGTTCTGTGCCAGCCTCACGATCCCTACTATACCTGAGCCCATCGCTGCAGCCACTGTGTCAATCCATCTTGCTGAGGGCCTTACCCTTTCTCGTTGACCCTCTACTTTACCAAGCATGACATCCTTATCCAGAGAATGGTCCTTTCTAACAACATGACCAAAGTAGGTTAGATGAAGTCTGGCCATTCTCACCTCCAATGACCATTCTGACTGCACTTCTCCCAGGATAGATTTGTTCGTTCTTTTAGCAGTTCACGGTACTTTGAGCATTCTTCACCAACACCACAACTCAAAAGCATCAGCTCTTCTTCAGTGTTCCTTATTCATTGTCCAGCTCCCATGTGCATATGAGGTGATTAAAAATACCATGGCTTGGGTTAGGTTCATCTTAGTCTTCAAGGAGATAACTTTGTGTAAATCTATACAGAAGCAGATTCTCTCATCTGTCTCCTGCATAACCCTACCTTTGAGTTAGCAGTTCAGTGTTTAACCACTGCATCACTAGAGTTCCTTCCAGGACAATCTAACTCATTGCCATGGAGTTGGACCTGACTCATAGCGACCCCTCCTTGGGTTTCCGAGGCGGTATCACTAAGGAAGTAGATTGCCCAACCCTCCTTCCAAGAAGTGGCTGGTAGGTTAGAACCGCCAGCCTTCTGGTTAGCAGTCAAATGCCTTAGGCACTATACCACCAGAGCTCTCATCCATGCCAATCTAGATCCATTTAAACTTCCACTGCACTTTGTGCATATTTCCACTTTACTTCTCATTACATTTATATTAATGACAATAGTACCTGTCGGTACAATGACCATAAAAGTAGTAGTTGGCTAGTTAGCCAAAGCCCTGAGAGATAGCCACAATTCAACCTGATAAAATTATATTTTTATAATTTAGGCTATATAATTTAGGATGGTCCTAAATATTACATGGGACAGTAATGTCCAAAATTATGTGGACTACATCTCAGTCACAATGCATAGTACTTTTATGTGTCAGTGGATTCAATTTACTAATATTTTTAACATTTTTACATCCATATTCATGAGGATTATTAGTCTTTAGTTCTCTTTTCTTTTGATGTCTCCATCAGAGAACTATTGACCTCATAGAATGAGTTGGAAAATATTCCTTGCTTGATTTTTTGATAGAGCTTACATCCCTTAAATATTTGATAGAATTAATCAGTGAAGTAAAATTATGTGGGATGAGATAATAGTTTATTTTTACTGAACAAGCATCTTTGAAAACCCTGAAATGATTTAAGTATTTACCAGTTTAAGATCATTCACAATTACAGTATTACTGTTCTGGGGATAAGAAAGATTCTGTGCATATTGGATATTTTGTGTACTTGTGTTATTTGAGAAAATGTGTCCCTTTGGAGTAACTGAACAGCTTGTAATGCCAATTTAAAATATATATTTGAGTAGTTGATTGACTCATACGAGTATAAGGTGAAATGTATTAAGTTATATAGATGTAACATTGAAGATAACTGAATCTACTTCATTACGATCACAGGCAACCATCTAAGGTGCAACTATTGGTCTCTACCCACCTGGAACACATAAGAGTGAAGGAAATCAAAGACATATGGAAATAATTAGTCCAAAGGACTAATGGACCACATGAATCCCAGCCTCCACAGTCCTGACACCATAAGAAGTAGATGGTGCCCTACTACCACTGCCAGCTGTTCTGAAAAGGATCACTATAGGGGGTCCTGGATAGAGTAGGAGAAAAATGTGGGGAAAAACCTCAGAATTATAAAATAGACCAGGCTCACTAGTCTGCCAGAGACTGGTAGAACCCCCAACACTGTGGTCCTTAGATACCCTTCAAGCCTTGAACCAAAGTTACTCCTGTGACTCAACCTTCAGCCAAAGAATAGACAGATCTGTAAGGTGAACAGTAATATCAGGTAGGTATGCACTCTTTAGAACAACCAGCCATAGCACATCAAAAGGGCAGCATTTGCCCAGGGATAAATCTCAGAAGGCAGGAAGGGATAGGAAAGAAGGATGAATTTAAATGATAAACATAGGGTAGAAGTGAGAAGGGTGCTA